ACATTGATAAATAAAATAAATTTAGACGCTTAACCACTGCTAAGCAAACTCCTAATAGCTATCTATTTATTTAATATATCACTATTTATATTGAGATAAATGTGAATCCCATGAAAGTATGTAAATAGAGAATTGTGTTATGAATATATAATACACGAGAATATATGGTAAACTAATTGGTTGGTAAGAATCGGTTCCGACTGTGTGTGTGTTCAGTAGTATTAATAACATACACAACCAGAGAGCGAGAGAGAGAGAGAGAGAGAGNGACTGTGTGTGTGTTCAGTAGTATTAATAACATACACAACCAGAGAGAGAGAGAGAGAGAGAGAGAGAGAGAGAGAGAGAGAGAGAGAGGGAGAGAAGTGAATCTATGTCTGAATGGTCTCTCTTGTATTCCCAATCGTAATCCCCAACACATAGAGACTCAGCTGAGATGCAATTTTTTTCTGCCGGTGTTTACACTGCAATGGCCTCAAGAGCTTAACTGCGACCAATTGCCTGATAGCCCCGATCCAGACATATGTGTTGGTTATCAAGAAAATCGATTCCTCACTACTGGAGCCCATTGTAAGCATAACTTTACCTCTATTTCCAGTATTCTTTGTCTAGTATTTTAAAATTCTCTATTCATTCCTCAATTCAATTCAATTCTTTAAACTCAAAAAACTTTTTTATTTTTATTTCTTTCGTATACAATATATTATATATGTTTGTCTTATTCTGGCTTTGCATTCAATAAATAATTTATAGTTTATTGTGTTATAAATGTACGCCAAAGATGATGGTAAAATACATTTCGCGATTCATGTGCCACTCTATTGACTGAATTGAGTGTCAGTTACAACCTTATCATGTAATTAACTCTTGTATAATGTGTTGTATTGTGTTTTGTCGGCACAACCAAAGTGTTTGATCTTTCATTCAATAGGAAATCTATACGTAAATTACATTTTTCTATTCTTTACACAAATTTTAGTTTAAATTCTGAATTGAATAATAAATTGGTTAATATTTCATTTAAAATTTAGTTTATTTCTAAATTTTTAAATTTAAAAGTATCTTACCTTATGAGTAGGTATTAAATTAATTAACAAAGATCCGTCATATTTACCAACAATAGTTACATACATCATTATGGACTATAATGATTCATTTTGTAAATGGTTCTGTGCTATGTATGCACTTATTTTAATAAATGTAAAAATCAAATAATTTTTAAGATTACATTTAGATTAAATTGAAGAACATTTTATGTTAATTTTGAATTAAAATGTTATTTGATAAAAATTCAATTTTTTCAAAAAATTTAAGGCCTTTTTATTTAATAATTGAGAAAAAGGATTGATTTATATGTTGATAACATCTAGTAAAAATAAGTTTTGAGTAACAACTACTCTTTATTATTTATGTTTAACTATTAAATTAAAATATAAGTAAACTATAAATTATATAAAGTGTATATAAAATGTATATAAGAAGTGAATTTGTAATTGAATTAATGAAAACGAAAAACAAGATTGAAGTGACTTTTGGTATACTAGAAAATGGGATCAAAGAAAGGGTTTAAATAAATGATTGGTTGTAAATAATTAATATATGGTGTGATTTATTAAATAAAGGCTAAACAGACAATACATGTCTTAATTAAAGCAAAGATATAGTGACTTGAGATCTACTAAGACATGAGATCAGGATTTATGAAAAAATAATTTGCTTTAGTTTTAGGATAACTATTGCTCACAATAGAAGTGAATATACTATAAGTGTTGCCAATCGGTTGAAGACTCGCATCCATTCATTTAATTCGCCCACAAATTCACAACTCGTTTCATAACTGATACAAAACTGTCGTTTGTCTCAATATATACTGTATATGTGAATGAAATGAGAAAATAAAACACAAAATCCGACATAAAATCTAATTAATAAATCTGTGGGAAGAATGAAGTGATTGTAATACTTGTAAATAAAGTTTGTATATAAAAACTTGTATAAAATATATTGTAATGATTTTTATTATCCTTTTATTATATTAACAGTTAATATAAAGTGTCGTTCGCTTTGATATAAACATTTCGATTAATTATTTCCTCATTAATTCTGATTTAAACACATTTTTTGCAAATAAAACACATAAATAGCGATAAGTATTTATGAAGAAAAATGCCAAACAAATTGCATTAAATTATAAATTATGCCATAAATGATGGGAGAATGTGATGAGAAAGAGAGAGAGAGAGAGAGAGAGAGAGAGAGATTGTATTATATTGTTATTCATTTTAAGAATAATTATCAACATTAATATAACATTAATATAACACATAAATTGATAGTCAAACTGATGTGAGAGAGAGAGAGAGAGAGAGAATGTGAAAAAAGAGAAAAAAGAAGAAATATGCCAATTATTTAGTACTTATTAAATATTTGTCTTAATTATATTATATATTTCGACGAATGCATTGTGTTTTTCAACAAATAAATATAATTTATTATTTTATTTCTCTTCTTTAAGAAATGCATTATTACTTCATTTTCGGTACATTTTATTCATAATTATATAATAATTGAAAAATGTTCTGTGGATTCGTGGGTCTCATGACTGAGCAATATATTCATTATTTTAGTGTATTTTGTGTTTAAATTTTTGTCGATTATGGAGAATAAGTTATATAAAAAAACTAACACTCTTTTAATGGACAGAAATATCATTAAATATTTATTGATATTTAGTCTCTATTAAGAGATTCAATAGAGATATTTCGCTCACAATATTCACATTTATTGGGCTTAATATGTCTTATATATAAGAGAGAGAATATCGACTCTTTTTGCTGTATATTGCGATAGATTTGCCGAAAAATACAAACATTTGCTTTTAAATTGAGTACAAGTATTATTTTTTCCCAACACTAATGTGTACTCCAATAGCGTTCAGATATATTATTTGCAGCCTTTGTAATGATAATCAACAGAATATTTTATTGCATAAATTAATTCAAGAATTTAAAGCAATTATTTCACTAATTTATTCATTATTATTATTACTACTATTACTATTGTTTGATTGAAAAATCAATTTAATTTTCCAAACTCTAATTAAGCGCTGAATTTAGAGTTGAAATCAATTATTTTTTAGAGAAAATCTATTCATCAAATGTCTGATTATTTTTGTATTTTATAAAAATAGTTGAATTTTTTGGAGGGTTTGCTAATTAAAAGGGAAATTCCAGTTAAACAAACAATTTATATTCAAAACACCTTTTTTGGGTGCCTTTTATTTGACAAACCATTCATTCGGCACACAATATAAGGCCAATGAATATAAAGCAAAAGATTGTGTTTAATTAAAAAGTGAATTATTTTACCCCAAGTTTTTTCGTCAGTTAATTCAATACTAGAGTTTGTGTAAGTTTTATGCCGTAAAGTGTTTTGTATGTCAAACGAAGTTTTGTTGGTTTTTAGGAGAATAGTTTGTCCGCAAAAATATTGTATAATAAGCAGAATATTGTTAAATAGAGTCAGAATATACGCTGAATATAAACATCTGTTCACTATATGTATTATATTATCTACAGTACGGCATATATACAGTATACTGTACTCTACTGTGTATTGATTAGTTGTATTTCTCTCCCATATCTTAACTATATCCACATAAAACAACTGTGAATTTAATGAGCTGTTTGTGTGTTATTAACATTTATTATGTATTTTCATTATAAATAACTGATGGAGTGTTTGTCATATTATTCTCCGCCAGTAGTTAAATGCATAAAGTTTTGAATTATACACAATTCTTATGTAATATATTGTTTAATAGCACACATATATAGAATATTCTGCATAACACTTATTATTAAAATAAAATAATTGTTTGAATTAATAATTTTATATTTAAAACCGTCTCAATGGAGCACTTCTTACAGTATACATGATTACAGGCCTCTGGAACTGGCAATATATAGTTAGACTACACTAATTATACTGTAAAGCAACTATAGATAGGGTTAGAAAAATGTGTAAATAAATTAATGATCAAATACTATACGATCGAGTGGTCAACACTTACATAATTTAAAACTTATATTTATATTTCATGCTTATTCTGCATTTTGCATGTACTGTACTGTACTTTACATTACTGTATGTATTAATAATTCAGACCAAAAGTTAGTGCAATTGGTTGTCATATATGTCTACATATTTGTAGAATTTATTAAATTAGGAAAAATTGGAGATATTGTGGACAGAGTTTGCAATAAATATGATTTGATTTCTGGCTAAACTGAGGCTACGATTCCTTGATATTAAGCTCAACTTACTATTGCATTAGCCATACGTCGAGTCGTTAATACGAATGTATTATTTAATATAACGTTGAATTGAATTTGACGTAAATTGAAATCTACGGTTAGATTAAGATTTCGCAGAATTGAGGAGTGAATAAAGAAGAGAGAGAGAGAGAGAGAAATACAACTAATCAATACACAGTAGAGTACTGTGTTATGCAGAATATTCTATATATATGTGTGCTATTAAACAATATATTACATAAGAATTGTGTATAATTCAAAACTTTATGCATTTAACTACTGGCGGAGAGAGAGAGAGAGAGAGATGAGAGATTGTTTACTGAATTTTATTTATTAAATTTTAAACTCAAAATCTGTGCACAAAATCAAAATCACACAAAAAGATTGCGACGGAAATGGGTTTCGATGCGATTCTTCGCGATGTATACCCTATCAGTGGAAATGCGATGGTTTTGCCGACTGTCGAGACTTTTCTGATGAAAACAATTGCAATAACTGTACGGAAAAACAATTTCATTGCGGAAACAAAGCCTGTATTTCACAATCAGAAATATGCGACGGCTTTAAAGACTGTCCGGACGGCAGGGATGAAAGACAATGCCGTAAATAATTCGCACAATTATACAGTAATTTTCATGTTTATAAACAACTGATTATATATTTGCAGTGCGTTTAAGCAAATCGATGAAAGAGTCGGGAGAGGGAAGACTGGAGGCGTGGAGTGTCGAGAGTAGCGCCTATCAGGCCGTATGCGGTGAGCACTGGAACGCCAGCTATCAAAGTGAGACCGCGTGTCGTCTTCTCGGCTATAAGAGTCTCAATGAAACCCGTATTAAAGACGAGACGACCACTCAGTCTATGGAACTCTACAACAGAATCGGAACCGCTATTAGTAGACAAACACAGATGAAAGTGCTTTTCGATAAGTCCAGGAATAAGGGCTGTAGGAATGGCAAGAATATGACCGTTCACTTGAAATGCAATCATTTCGGTAATTCATTTCCACAACAAAAAACAATAATCACATGAAATGATCATTTGGTTTGCCATTAAGAGTGCGGACGATCTGCTATACCATTGCGGCGCCGAAAGCGTCGCCGACGTATAGTTGGCGGCAAAGAGTCAAACCCGGGTCAGTGGCCATGGCTTGTGGCCCTTCACGGCGGACCCGAAGAGGTGTTCTTTTGCGGCGCTGTATTGATATCCGAGCGATGGGTACTGACGGCCGCCCACTGTATTGGAAAGTATGGCACTTATTGTATTATATTGTTATTCATTTTAAGAATAATTATCAACATTAATATAACATTAATATAACACATAAATTGATAGTCAAACTGATGTGAGGGGTTGGACAGTGAATCTGGGGGTCACCCGTCGGACGGCGTCGCCCTTTTCGGTACGAAAACGCAAAGTATTGCATCTCCTAAAGCATCCGGGTTTCAATCCGAGCGCAAACATGTACTCGAGTGATATCGCACTCATTCTTATGGACTCAGCCGTCGATTTTGATGAATTTTTACGACCCGTGTGTTTGCCTCCTCTTCACACACGTATTGAAACCGGTATTCAATTCATATAATATAGACCTTAGATCTATACGATTCAATGACATGCCATATATTCACCATTAGGTACGTTATGCACAGTCATTGGTTGGGGTAAGAAGATTCACGACGACGACGCCGACTACCTGTCGGCCATACATGAAGTGGATGTGCCGATTGTGGACCACAGCCGGTGTCGGCAATGGTATGAGAAACAAGACGTTGTAATACCGCCGACAATGTTGTGCGCGGGCTATGAGTTGGGCCGTAAGGACGCGTGTCAGGGCGATAGTGGCGGTCCTCTCCTGTGCCGCGATTTGCATCACAATTGGTTTGTGGCGGGAGTAGTGAGCTGGGGCATCAACTGCGCTCAACCACAACTACCAGGTATGCAACGAACATGCACATTTATATAAAGTTACATTTACAATATTATTTTCAGTGTAACTTTTATTACAATTGTATGCATAGACTATTGAATTATATTTTATTTGTTTCTAAATGTGTTTAATTTATCAAATTAAAGGCATTTATACAAACGTTCCCATGTTTTTGGATTGGATTGAAGGTATGGCCGAACAAATGGGTCATCCGTTAAGAATCCACTAAAACTATGTATTGTTAATATTTTTTGTAAAACCAATGCTAATTATATATAATATACATATTTAGACAAATTTTATTATTATAAAAATTCATTGTAAATCATTAGCATTTTATTGGAGCTTAAGGTAACATTTAATGAACTGTAAAAATTAGTTATCAAGTGCTGTGTTTTAATATTATAAGTATAATTAATGTTTAAATCTATACATAGACTCTGATATTATGATATAAAATAAAATAATTACATATCAAAATAGGCCTGACGTAAGCACAGGTGTGAAAGAGTAACACATATTATACGTATAGTTAGGCACTTATCGACCCGTGCTTTGTGTCCAAAAAATTGGATTTAATTAAATTGTGTTTAAATAACACATGAATAGTAATTGTTTGAAAGCTTAAAATAAAAATCCAATTAATTTTGAAAATTGAAAATCATTTCTTGAAAAATATTGTGTTTTAGGAATATTTTTAAATTATATTTGTTATTATAAATACATTTCAAATTTTCAAAACACCTAAAAATACATTCAAACCTATAGTTATATCACAAGCAATATATTGATATTAATTTTCATCAATTTTTCATGAATTTAAAATAGAAAATACACAAAATTTGTTAAACATTTGTACAATTCTGAGAAATATATGAATATTTTTATTTCATTTAATTTATTATTAAATATTTTACTTGACTTGCATTGCATTGCATTTCATTAGATTTATATGATTTTATTAAATTCTTTAAAAACACATGATATTTGGTTTTGCATGTGATTTATTTGTGTTCATAACTGTATAACTCATAAATCACTAAAAATTAATTTTTGTAAAGCAATCTCATCTGTCGTCCCAAACAATAAATTATTTTAAAACATAGTTTTAGTATAATTTTGTTTAAGAATTAACAAAGAATCTACCAGATTGACCTTGGGTTGTTTACAAATTGTATAATCTAGTTCAATTTAATATTCTCTATACTGTAGAGATTGTTCAAAATGTTGGTTGTGTTTAAAGCAAAGTAATTAAATAATTGTACAAAATTCTAATTATTGTGTATATATTGATGTATATATTAAACCAAAACATTTGCCCTTAAATAAAGTCTTTTAAAACTTATTTCAACAATAATTAAAAGTTATTTCCAAAATAAACCCAATTTATTTAAATCCAAATAGTATTGAATAATTAACTTCTAATTATCAAATGAACTAAAAATAAATTTATAAACCAAACATACATTGCTTTTAAAACATAATATAATTAAAAATATCTCGAAATTTCTTTTAAATAATTTAAAGTAAAAGTTTATTTTTAGATATTTTCTGCTATAAATCAGGACTATTATTATAATATTAGATTTACTGCCATTAAAAGTAATTTATATTTTGAATGCTAAACATTGAAGTTTTTGTGTCAGTTAATGATAAATGAATAGACCTTTGTATTAATATTTAATTGGTTTATTCATCTTCACTTGTATTCCCGTTTTATTCAATTAATTAAAGCATTTTCTAGGACTTCAATGAAATATAGCTTTTAATGCATTGGATTAGAAATAAAATCATAATTAATTAATGCGATGACAAATAAAAGAGAAAATATGGACATTATTTTCAAGGATTTATCCGTTGATTGTGTCCTTAATCAAGATTGAGTTTAATTTTATTATTTATTACTTATTTGTTATTATAAACAGTTGTATATGAATAATATTCTAGTTTTTATATTGTATTTTATATTTGGTTAATAAATATAACGTTGCAATCATTGCACAAATCATGACATTAAGTCGTTTATCATAAGTTTCTTGAAATTACATTTATTTTGAACAATAATTAATATATTTAATGAATTATTATATTATTTGTTTTTAAAGTTTTGTTTTGAAATTTGGGTGCAATACTTGAATAACGATATAAAATAAGGTAACATTGTTTTTATGCTCACAATTCAGTTGAATAAGACATGCATTGGTTAAACAGAAAAGATCTCAAATTGTGATTCAAGCGATTATTTGTTAAAAACTCTATAAAAATGCATAAATCCTTTGATCAAAACAAACCAAAGCTCTATAAGAGTCTGAAAATGTTTGAGACATTTCTGGCAAATAATTGTTTCATTTTATCCAATAGTTTCGATGAAATGATTG